CTCACCACCTCTCCTTCCTTGCCTGTCCCTTCTAAAGAGTTTATAACCATCCATTACAGCTCTCCAGTTGTGCGAATCATCCCACCATGTTTCTGCAATTTCAACTATCTCATTTTCCCGCTGCACAGTGGCTTCCAGCTCCTCCTGTTTGCTGCCCATGCTGCGGGCAGTGGTGTAGATGCACTTCAGTCAGGCTATTGATCCTGCCACTTTTGGGGGGAAGAAGCCCTAATTCCTACGTGAGCATTTTCAGGCACTTCTGTGGTTTCTAACACATCAATAACCCTTGCATCTTTGCTGACATATGGATCTCCATCCCCTACATCCACTGAGATGGCAGACCAAAGGACCTTTTATGGGAAACCAAGCAAGACGGTTAACAGCTAGTTTTTCATAATGATTTTCTTCCTTATCTACCCTGCCAAGGAATAAACAACTACAGCCTCTTTTTGAAATGCACATATTTTGATGCCAATGGAATAAGACACTCAGAATAATGTTTATGTTTTGTGAAGATAGAAAGACCACCAGCATTAGTAACTTGAAACTCAAGACACAAGAAGATGAACAGATAAACCAGAAGGTTTACCTTTAAAGTACAGGCAATTTTTGCTAATAGAAATTACTTCATCTCAGAAAAAGGGTTACTAAAATTACTAAAAAAGCTATTTTATCACTGCTTGTTCAGATCAAGCAATGAAGCAGAAGGGTACAGTGAATCCTAGCAGGAAGAGTATTAGTGTGCTTTTGACATAAGTCCTGAATAACACCTCCCTCCTCAGTACATGCCTATGTCCTAATTTCAAGTTCTGGTGTCCAGTGGGTCTGTTTTTAAAGGGTTGCTTAGCACACACCTTGAAGAAACTAAATGCTACTTATGTGTTTAAATGATGATACGGTAGCTAGGCTGACCACCATTAAGAAGTTAATTCCTAGGACTGGAATGTTGCAGGCAGGAAAAGTGAAGGGCATGGCAAAGTGCAGGGACCTGTCACCAAGACCACATCTCTACACCACACAGCAACACAGAGACACCAGTGTCGACATTTCTCCCAGCCACTGCACCAGCATAGGGTGGAAAAGCAAAGCAAACACAACACAACCACCACATTTGCCCTGGCTCAGGATCATAACAAACACCCTGCCTTCTATTACGAAACATGGGTGTGGACAAAGCTCTGTCCTGTCCGGGCCATGCTGTTTCCAACTCTACAGAAAGCCAAGCTGGCAGTGCAGCTCCTCCTTCTCTCACAGCTTGTTGCAGCCACCTCTGTGTCAGGAGGAGTCAGGACTCTGCTATCCCTGTGGACATCCACGGCACCATGTTGACTTGGCATCAAGCACCCCTATACTCCCTCCCTCCTGCAAACATCACTGAGGTCTGGCAGCACAAGAAGGTAGGTACATGTGGCTGACAAGGGCCAAGGACTGAAAACAAAACAGGAAGATCGCTTCACAAAAAAACCCACAACTGGAATACAGATATAAGTGATTAATAATTTGGTCTGAACACAGGTTTGCCTGAAATCCCCCTCAACTTCTAGTTTTTAGAAGAAGGAATCAAACTTTACAATTTCCAACAACCAAAAAACTTCTAAGGTTTGGTGCCGCAAACAATTACACGTCAGTAACTTCAGCTGCATAGAGATCAACTGCAGCTAGTAAGACAATCTCAGCAGCTACAATAACTTGCAAGAGTGAAAGTAAGCACAGAACTGCTTTGTCATGTGGTTTTCTCCTACATCATAAAGTAATGGATCTTCAGCCCTCACTTAGCACTTTCAATTCAGCACCTCTTAGCACTTCCAATGGGTGGTCCAAAAGTATAACATTAAAGAAAAAAATTAAAAGGTAAAATAAACGTTAGAATTGTCTCTGTCTCCACCCCCCCACACACCCCCTTCTCAAATTCTTAGCAACTTCTTTGGTTCTTTTTGCTATATTTTCTTCGACAGCCATTTAGAAACTTTAATGAAAGCAGAGAACCTCATGCCATCCAAGTACAAGAACTGAGTCATTAGAAGAGGACTCAGATTCACAAACATAACAAGAACGTGCAAAAGACTATGCCACCCCCACTCCATACACCCTACACCCCCCCAACCCCGCAAACTGCAAAAAACCTAAAACCACATGGATAAAAACAAAACCACACTGATAAAGCATTATAAAGCTATTGGGACTATGGCAATTCAGCTATAAAGAGAAAGGAGAAAGCCAGTACAGGAGAAGAGAGACAAAAAGAACAGAACAATGCACAGACTGAATGCTGCAAGTAAGACCAGGAGGGGCAGTTTTCATATCATGATTAAAATCAAAGAGGAAAGACTTTTTTCTTTAGGGCCAGAAGGGGCAAGACAGGTCTAAGGAAGTTCAAGTTTGTTTTTAAATGAGCAAAAACTTAAAGCATTCAATGGCTTAATTTATTAAAAGTTCAAGCTGTAAGATATTGAGAGTTTGGACACATGCTTGTGACACTGTTAAGAGCACTACTGTTGTCTGCCAGGGCTGCAAGGTACAGCTGGATGTCACAACAAAGCCATCCTGTCTGCCTGCTGCAGCTAAGCAGGATCAGTTCCAAGTCCTTCAGCTCTAAATTGTCTTCACCTCCCCCCTCTTCCTTCTCCTCAGTCATCTCTCCCTTGTTCACTGGATTAGTTAAGGCAGGAGAATGAGAAGGGGTGTCTGAAACATGCCAAAACAGGGCAGACAAACACCAGAACAGATGCTGGAGATCTGATGGCACGTGCAAGATTTCCTTTTCAGCAGCAGTGGACACAAGATCAGCTCAGTAAGATGTTGGTAGATACCTGATGTTTGCACAGAAACTTCACAGAGTATAAAATTAAACAGCATTAAATATAAAACCCCACTGGCTCACAAAGTCCCTGAGCCACAAAATGCTGCAGGCTGGGACATCACTTAGAAATCTCTCTGGACACCTGCCTTTTAACTCCTTCTCCCAAACATCAGCCCTCAGCATAATGGTTCTTGCATTCCTAATTGTGCTACCACACTAAACCCCAAAGCTTTGCACACTGAAAACTTGTGTAAGGCAGCAAAAAGTCAAACTGAGCTACACCCCCCATCCCTACACATTCCTCCACTCACACACTGCCCCAAGCCAGGTACCAGAATGCCAATACAGACAATCCAATCAAGAAACTGATTGTGTGGCATTTTTTTGTTGTTGTTGTTGGTTTTTTTGTGTTTGTTTTTTTTTTTTTTTTTTTTTAATCTGCTTTAAGATGAACCCTGACTGGTTGCCCCAACAGGGAAATGCACTGCTTTGCTGTGTAAAGACATCTATGCAAATGAGAGCACATGGGAACTATTTCTTCCTGGAACAGTTTCTGGGAAGTAAAACCACAGTACATTACTCAAGACTAAAATAGTTTAAAAAAAAAAATATATATATATATATATATAAAAGCAAATATCAGTTCCTAAAAGAATCCAAAGATTAGCAAAAATACAAACTAAGTAAAAACTGTATCTAAAAAAAGGAAAAATTATTTTCAGTTAGTGCAGCACAGTAACTGTTCAACACTTATGTTTCTACATAGTGGTCTTATGTGTAGGGAACAATATAAAAAAAATTAAACCATAATCCTGATTACTTTGGGAAACTATAAAAAAAAGGCAGATTAAAGCTACTGAGATTCAATACAACCACACAGCACCAATTTAAAACAAAGAGATTTTTGACCTTACAGGCCCCTTTTAGTTTATACAGAAATAATCCTTTAATTTTCTACAATAGTGCTTTCTGAAGAAGCACCTGATCCTCTAAAACACAGCTTTATTTAGAGAACTGTAGGCACTGGGCTTACAGAATTAGATAGACTATACTAAAGCACCACTGTATAATGAGCACATGGGAGGGAGAATGTTTTTGGCACGTACATCTGCCTGCCAGGAACAGGGTTCCCAACACCTCCTGCTGTCTCATGCTATCCTTCAGCTCTGTATTCAAGTTCTAGACATGACAGTAGAATTGCTCCTCAGTAATCAGGAGTCAACAGCCATTTTGGTAATACGCAGGGCCTGTAATGCTTAGATTCATTTTCCTCCAGTTTTAAGACCCCTTTTTGGTTTTTTAAGCAGACTGACATTATTATAATTTGAAAGTGACTGGAGCGGTACCTAAATGTCCAGAAAATACACACTCCAAAGAAAATGCCACAAAAATTTATAGGTACACACAATCCAAGGTCAGGACTTTTGATGATGGCTAACAGCAAAGTTAGAAGAGGATGCTGCAGAAGACCATCAAAATGAGGTAGTAGTCTGCTTTCTTAGGAGGGAAGAACTCTTATCTAAATCGCCTGTAGGTAGAGAATATCATCACCACCACAGAATTAAGTCAAGCTGGTTTAGGAGGGGTGCTTGAATCATCCTCATGAGCTGACAGGGGAAACAAGAAAAAACAACCCTGAAAACAAATGCACACATACTCCTAGCCTAATGTAATAGTGTATTCTACTATGGATAAACTCATTCCTCCCCCATCTCTTACTAGCTATAACCTGGTTACTGCTTCACTTGAGATGGCAGCTTTTTCATTCTGAGAGACAGAGACCACATCATTCAAACCCCAGCTGTGGATTTGTAAGACTACACTAGAAAAAGAAAACAGATTCTACAGTTTATTGGGAAAGAATCACAGAACAGCTCATCTTTCTGCAGCACAACGAACTGTAATAGTTACCTATCACAAAGAGAAACAACTGTAATGACCTCCACAGGTTAAAAAAATATCTCCTTCATCAGCTTTAACTGCAATGCTTTTAAAATTTCTGTGAATGCCCAAGTAATCCTGTCTCAGTATTCTATACATTTACACTGTATTGCTTCAGGTCAACCACTCTAATTCTGGAGAGTGGTTGAGTAAAATTCAAGTACAGATCTGTTAACTTTCAAAAACACAAATAATTTGTTTTGTTTTTTTTCTGCATGCAAGAAGAGGAAGTTTGATTTAAATGTTAAACAAAACTCACCCCCAAGACCCCAAATCTTTCACAAAAGTTCCAACCACAGAGGAAGTCGATTTCAAAATTGTGATTAAGGATTACGATGGCATTCTCCTTCCCATACTTGTGGTAACTCTCTGGGTCAGTGTAGAGGGTGCAATCGGTGCCTGACCACCATTCCAGCAACATCACCATTTCTGGAATAAAGAACAAGAAATATATGAAAGTACATAGTATATGCAAAGCCAAAAATTAGTAACGTGTTGAAAAGCATCAGTCACCTCAACAGCACATGGAAAAGAAAGGAGCATAATGAAGTTGACATGCTGAACATAAACCACAGAGACACATCTTGGTACAGCAAGGCAGGAACAGAGGAGAGAAGGGAAATAAGGAGATTGCATGGAAAGAGGGAATAGAAGTTTTCCACAGTGATATTGAGAAAAATTAGTTTAATTTATTTGAAAATTGCAAATTCAGTGCTACAAATTATTTTACCAAATACATGTAAAATTAGCATTTATGATTTACAATAGTGCAACAAAATTCCATTAAGAACCTAACAAGCTTGTAGAAGAAACAAACACACCTATTCCTGACACACACAGGTCCTCATGCTCCTCTAAAAACTGTACAATTATAGACCAGAAAACAGTTTGGACAAGACACCTGGAACCAGGTCTGTTATGTGTACACTTTATGCATCATCCTGCTAACTTGTCAGAAATAACAGTCATATGCCTTGCCACAACTGATGCATTCTACATTTGACAGGGGTGTATCAATCATCCAGAGCAAAGCCAGTTGCTCAGACTAGATGAAGAATATCCATCCCCAGACCAAAGACAAGGTGGGTGACTAGCAAAACATGCGGAGACAAGAGTAGTTCTTTATAGTATAACTATCTGCTGATGAACTGATGAACCAAATGAGGGGCAGAGGAGGGGTGTGGAAACAGGAAATTCACTGTTAAATACCTCAGAATCACTCTGGATTGCACCTAGATTTGTTCCCAAAACCTAGCTGTAAGAAATTATAGAAGGATTGGTAGGACAGTGAGGGCTGTTTAAAACACAGTTGTATTTACAAGCTGGAGAGTGGTTTCTCAGCAGTCTCCTAGTGACTATCATACAGCTTTCACTTTCCTATTTGCTTATCACATTATCAAGCACAGGCAAGAAGTAAGCTTTGTAGCTGTTTTGCTTGTAACTATAAGCCTGACTACAATACTTGCAAATCAAACCTTTATTTAGTCTGAGGCATGGGAAGTTGAGGTGAGTCAATAAGGCCAAGTTTGGAAAGTTCTATCTCCATGCAGACGGAAAAATGGAGGCTCCATGGAGCCTCCTCAAGCAACCCATGTCCTGCGCTGGAGGGATGATGGGACTAAATGTGATCTGTCTGTCAAGACAGAAAAGAAGAGGTGTTAAGGGACACGTTTGCTTCCTGTCAAAGCTATCACAAAACTTCTGCACCAAAGCAAAGGTCTAATGTGAGGGGTTATTCTCTGCTAAAGTGAAATGTACCTCCTTCTCAGAGCATATCTGTGCCGTGTGAATGTCTCTGCTGGAAGGATGAGATATCTGAGATGCTCTTCTGGCATTAGTCGAGCCCAAGAGCTTCATTCACCTCAGGGAAGATCAAAACTAGGCCAGTCTTTGAAACACTTCTGAAATCCTTTCAATTTAGGTCCCCTACTGGCCTCAACTAGTGATCAAAACCAGAAAACAGCTAGGAATAAGTCGTCTACGTTTGCAGCCATCGTTAGCAAAATTAATTTCCTGAAGCTTTTGAAGGACATTGTGCTGTACACTGGAGAAGAGACATTAGGAACAAGTATGAATTTTATCTAACAGTGTTACAGCCAGGCTAATAGACAATCTCTATTCAAATAACATACCTTAACATGATAAAACCATGTTTATGGTACAGATAAATGATTCACTTGTCAGTCCCCCTGCTTATTTCTTATAAGGGAAGGTAACTACGACCATGGCAAGAGTACATACTATTCAATACATGCTATCATATCAATGCAATGCATTAAAACGATAATCAGAGATGTGGAGGGAGACCTAAACTGCCATATGTTAACCAAACAATGATTTCGCTGGTTGGAAACCTATTTCCCAACAAAAGACAAAGATGTTAACATCTCAGCAAATGCACTGTGGAGATACACAAGTGTGCTTCCAGACTTCCCCTGCTAAGAGCTGCCCTGTGACACATTCACAGTTTTACATCTTTTCGAGGGTGTAGCTTTCTATTAGATTTGTATTAGAAATGAAAGCCCTCCACTCCCCAAAACACAGCAAATTTGAATAATAATTGGGAAAAACCCACTACATTGTAATTTTCAAATCTTTACAGAATTTACAGTCATATCATGGGGCAGAACACAATCACAGAAAAGAAAGGAAGCTAGTGACAGGATTAGCTTGTCTTTTGCTTAACTATGAACCCAACTAAGAGAAGAAACAACTGCCAAATAGGAATTTCTCTTTTTTAAACATCTGCCATTAAACCTATTGCCTAAAGCAAACAAGTAGAAATGATGACTGTGAGGCCCTCTAGAAGAAAAGCTAACTTCACCTGAGGAAAAAACAACTTCAAAGCCATCCCACTTCAAGTGTATTTTTATTTTGTCTTTTCCTAAGGAATTTGAACAAAACTAATAACACATCACAAATCTCACTATACAGTTGTGTCACATGCATAGAGCTCTTCAGTTACATATTTTCAGTCTCAAATACATTCGAACAAAGTATAGACAAAAATATTTCCATATGTAGTTTGATTCTTCAGGCTTCACATAATCAGGATTTTTGTTTGAATATATACTGCAGAAATAGGTCCCTATTTCTCACCTCTCCTGCCCATTTGTCACTGATGAGTTCAGGCAGTTGCTGCAGAAACACAAAGCAGGCATCAAACGCCTTTGTATTAAATACAATAAATACCATCTGCCAGCCTTTAGGTTCTTAACATGTTTCTTCCCCTCATCTTCCCCACTCTTTCTTTTACCTTCTTCTCAGCCTCCTTTGTCTTTGTGGTTCTCAAGCAATGATTAGTAGTGTCAGTTTGAGCTACTCTCGCATCATGTCACCAGCTTATTTCCACAATCTGCCACAGAAATTTATTACCCAGCAACTTACTGTGGTGGCTCAGCAGCACAAAGTCCCTCATACACACTCTCCTTTCCTCCTTCACAGTGTAGATGATTAGTGCAAGTTTTCTCCTCTTTGTACACCAGTCAGACTGTATAACTAAAAATCAATTTATACTGGGGGAAAAAAAGATCTCTTGCTCCCAAACAGGGATGGTTTGAGATTTCAAAGGCTTCTCCCTACTCCCTCTCATGATGTTTTGGAGTTTCAATGTCACAACTGAGCTGGTAAATTCACATTCACCCACATATCATGGATGTTCCTACCTTGTAAAGTAACTCCTCCAGTGATACTTCCACACAATTAACGCAAAGGAAGGAGAAAGCACAAGACAGTTTGAAATCTCTCATCCCTGCTTTGAAGGCAGAGTCCTTGCAGTATGTTACAACTAGCTGTAGGAGAGGCTGATGGTAAGGAGAAAACATACCTTCAAATGGCTAATACGGATACTCTGCTTAAGAATTTTGAGGTTTTCTACCTTTCTGGAAAAAAAAAACCTCTCACCCTGCTACACAGAACAGCCTCCTGCAGAACAGCTACCTCCTGAAAGAGTAGACTGCTTCCTAGCTCTTCAGTGCACAAGTCTGAACTGCCTCAGTGCCTGCACTTACAGAACTAAAAACACCTCTAAGACTAACCTGAACTATAACTAGTTATATGAAAAACATTTAAGGGAAGAAGGGAAACACACATAAAGTTTACTGAGACTTGTTATTTTGTACCTCTAAGTTTTCCAATGAGCTATTAAAGTTAACGCTGTTCTTCTGCAGAAGTTGTTAGTAATTCCTTTAGCTAACTATTCTTGACAAGCCATGGAAACACTTGCTTACAAGATTAAACATAAACTGCCTATTTTAAAATGCAACTAAAAACAGTTATATATTGACTCAATAAATACAATAATTTGAAGATCTCAAGTAAGTACTTAACCTGTTTTAGAGAGAAACAGTTGTGTTGCTCTTTATGACATTCTTCATTTTCTTTAATTTATGTCTCAAGGCAACACCAAGAAAAAGAACTTAGAAAATTATTATGGGAATATATAATAAAAACTCTCCAACAGAAATAAAAAGCAAGAGAAGTGGGCACGCTGTGACTGCCATTTCAAAGACCAGACTGGGTAAATGATTGCATGATGAATGAGTACTTTGCACAGAAGACTGGGGAAAGCATTTTTTTTTTCTAAAAAAAAAAAAAAAAAAAAAAAAAAAAGAAAAAAGAAAAAAGTATCACTAAAGACAGACTGACAGCAGTGTAGTCAAGTCCATGCCTGTCTGTGGAAGAACGACTTACAGTAATAACTTACTACCTTTCCAAATTTTCAGACTACACCTACTAGTTGCACCTCTTCAACATTTTCCATTGAACGAGTCAGGTCTACAGGTAACTAAGAAAAGCAAGTCTATTATCTTCTCTGGACTACCCAAAAGCCTTCTGTGTACACAGGCAGGGTTAAACCCCTGACAGAATTAAATCTGGCCAGAGACATCAAGGGCAACAAAAAAAGGTTTTACAGGTATGTTGGTGATAAAAGAAAGACTAGGGAAAATGTGGGCCCTCTCTGGAAGGAAAAGGGAGATTTGGTCACCTGGGATATGGAGAAAGCTGAGGTACTCATATTTTTTGCCTCAGTCTTCACTAGTAAAGGGCTTCAGCCACACTGCCCAAGATGCAGAAGGGAAAGGTGAGGACTGGGAGAAGAAAGAACCACTGCAGGAGAAGATCAGGTTTGAGAACATCTAAAGGACCTGAAGGAGCACAAGTCAATGGGATCTGATGAGATACATCCACGTAGCCACTTCATCTACCTGTGGTTAAGTCTCTATCCATCGTATTTGAGATGGTAGTCCAGTGAAGTTCCCACTCACCAGAAAAGGGGTAACATAACCCCCATTTTTAAAAAGAGAAATAAAGAAGACCCAGGTAACTATAGGCCAGTCAGTCTCTCCTCTGTGCCCAGCAAAATCATGGAGTGGATCCTCATGGAAACTATGCTAGGGCACATGTAAAACAAAGAGGTGATTGGGGAC